AGAGAGACCTAGTAACAGAGAAACACAAAAAACGAAACAGACAGAGAACACAACAAACTCACACGCCCAGAGAAAAAAAAAAGGACGAGAAAGAGGCAGATATTCCTCCGATAGCCAATAAGGCCCATAATCCATAATTTTCTTATCCAAACACACCCCAAGGACCCCCGGCGTCTGCGGGAGCGTCTCCTTCGCCATGAAAGAGTCCGCGACGCCATCTGTTATCGGAGAATCAAATTAATACTGCGTCTCGCCTGATCGTGCTTATGGCCGCGACCTTGGCTCCTCTTGATGTTCTTGTTGTTGGCGGGGTTGGTTTGCAGGAGTTTTGCTTGCTCTCTTTCGTGTTTTTTTCTCTGTTTATATATATATATATATATATATATATATATATATATAATATATATATATATATATATATATATATAATATATATATATAATATATATATATTATATATATATATATATATATATATATATATATATATATATATATATATATATATATATATACCCCCAGTGTGTCCAACAAAAAACAAAACAAAAACAACAAACAAAAACAGCCCGTGTCCAACAAAAAACAAAACAAAAACAACAAACAAAAACAAACCAGCCGTGTCCAACAAAAAATAAAACCAGCCATCCCCAACACCAAACAAAAGCGAAAACAAAAAGCAAAAACAAAACCAAAAACAAAAATAAACCAACCATCCCCGACACCAAACAAAACCCAAAACAAAACCAAAACAAACCAAAAACAACAAATAAAACAACTATTCCCCGATGCCATACACTCACTGGGCTGCTGACCCTCCTCTGGCCGCGCACGTGGGGCCGGTTGACCCCGTTCGCCCTGTTGTAGAGACCGCAGGCGTTGCACAGGTAGTGACCTCCCGAGTCCCGGCGCCAGAGCGGGGTCGTCATGGAGCCGCAGTTGACGCACTCGCGGTTCTCGTTGCACTCCGGGTCGCCTGGAAGGAGGGGGGGGAGGAGAGGGTGCTGGGTTAGAGAGTACTGGGTTAAAGGATTTTTTGAGGGAAAGGTAGAGGGCGCTGGTTTAGGGGGTTTTCGTGTCTGGGGAAAGACAAAGAGGGAGGGTAGAGGCGCTGGTTTAGGGGTTTAGGTCTAGGAAAGACAGGGAGAGGTAGAGGGCGCTAGGTTAGAGTAGGAAGGGAGAGAGAGAGAGAGAGGCGCTGTTTTAGAGAGTACTGGGGTAAAGGATATTTTGAGGGAAAGGTAGAGGGGTCTTGGAAGGGGGAAGAGGGGGTAGAGGGCGCTGGGTTAAAGGATTTTTTGAGGGAAAGATTGAGGGCGCTGGTTTAGGGGGTTTTAGGGTCTTGGGAAGGGGGAGAGAGGGGTAGAGGGCGCTGGGTTAAAGGATTTTTTGAGGGAAAGGTAGAGGGCGCTGGTTTAGGGGGTTTTAGGGTCGCCTGGAAGGGGGGGGGAGAGGGCGCTGGTCTAGAGAGTACTGGGTTAAAGGATTTTTTGAGGGAAAGGTAGAGGGCGCTGGGTTAGAAAGTTTTGAGAGAGAGAGGGCGCTAGTTTAGAAGGTTTTTTGGGACTAGGGAAGGGAGAGAGAAAGAGAGAGGGCGCTGGGATAGAGAGGGAAAGATAGAGAGTACTGGGTTAAAGGATTTTTTGAGGGAAAGATTGAGGGCGCTGGTTTAGGGGGTTTTAGTGTCTCGGGAAGGGGGAGAGAGGGTAGAGGCGCTGGGTTAAAGGATTTTTTGAGGGAAAGGTAGAGGGCGCTGTTTAAGGGGTTTTAGGGTCCGCCTGGAAGGAGGCGGGAGGGAGGAGAGTAGGGTGCTGGGTTAGAGAGTTACTGGGTTAAAGGATTTTTGAGGGAAAGGTAGAGGCGCTGTTTAGCGGGTTTTCGTGCTGGGAAAGACAAAGAGGGGGTAGAGGCGCTGGTTTAGGGGGTTTAGGGTCTAGAAAGACAGGGAGAGGTAGAGGGCGCTAGTTAGAAGGTGTTGGGTCTAGGGAAGGGGAGCAGAGAGAGAGAGGGCGCTGGTTAGAGAGTTACTGGGTTAAAGGATATTTTTTGAGGAAAGGTAGAGGGTCTTGGGAAGGGGAGAGAGGGTTAGAGGGCGCTGGGGTTTTAAAGGATTTTTGAGGGAAAGATTGAGGCGCTGGTTTAGGGGTTTTAGGGTCTTGGGGAAGGGGAGAGAGGGGTAGGGGCGCTGGGTTAAAAGGATTTTTGAGGAAAAGGTAGAGGGCGCTGGTTTAGGGGGTTTTAGGGTCGCCTGGAAGGAGGGGGGGGAGAGGGCGCTGGGTTAGAGAGTACTGGGTTAAAGGATTTTTGAGGGAAAGTAGAGGGCGCTGGGTTAGAAATTTTGAGAGAGAGAGGGCGCTAGTTTAGAAGGTTTTTGGGACTAGGGAAGGGAGAGAGAAAGAGAGAGGGCGCTGGATAGAGAGGGAAAGATAGAAGAGTAGTGGTTTTAAGGATTTTTGAGGAAGAGATTGAGGGCGCTGGTTAGGGGTTTTTAGTGTCTCGGGAAGGGGAGAGAGAGAGGATAGAGGCGGCTGGGTTAAAGGATTTTTTGAGGGAAAGATTGAGGGCGCTAGGTTTAGAGGGGATTTTGAGGGTGGCTGTTAGAGGGTTTTAGGGTCTCGGGAAAGGGGGAGGAGAGAGTAGAGGCCTGGGTTAAAGGATTTTTTGAGAAAGATTGAGGGCGCTGGGTTTAGGGGGTTTTAGGGTCTCGAAGCGGGGAGAGAGAGAGGTAGAGGCGCTGGGTTAAAGGATTTTTGAGGCAAAGATTGAGGGCTCGTTGGTTTTAAAGGAGAGGGGTTTTGGTTCTCGGGATTTTAGGGAGGGGAAGAGAGAGAGGTAAGAGGGCGCTGGGTTAAAAGGAAATTTTTTAAGGGAAGAGATTGAGGGCGCTGGTTTAGCGGGTTTTAGGGTCTCGGGAAGGGGGGAGAGAGAGAGTAGAGGCCGCTGGGTAAAGGATTTTTGAGGAAAAGATTGAGGGCGCTGGTTTTAGGGGGTTTAGGGTCGTCGGGAAGGGGAGAGAGAGAGTAGAGGGCGCTGGGTTAAAGGATTTTTTTGAGGGAAAGATGAGGGCGCTGTTAGGGGTTAGGGTCTAGGGAAGGGGAGAAGAGAGAGGTTAGAGGGCAGCTGCGGTGATAAGGATTTTTTGAGGAAAGATGAGCGATGTTTAGGCGGGTTTTAGAGGTCTCGGGAAGGGGGAGAGAGAGAGTAAGGGGCGCTGGGTTAAAAGGATTTTTTGAGGAAAAGATTGAGGCGCCTGGTTTAGGGTGGTTTAGGGTTTCGGGAAGGGGGAGAGAGAGAGGTAGAGGGCGCTGAGTCAAAGGATTTTTTGAGGGAAAGGTAGAGGGCGCTGGGTTAGAAAGTTTTTGAGAGAGAGGGGCGCTAGTTTAGGAAGGTTTTTTTGGGACTAGGGAAGGGAGAGAGAAAGAGAAGAGGGCGCTGGCATTAGAGAGGGAAAGATAGAGAGTACTGGGTTAAAGGATTTTTTGAGGAAATGATTGAGGGCGCTGGTTTTAGGGGGTTTTAGTGTCATCGGGAAGGGGGAGAGAGAGTCGAGGGCGCTGGGTTAAAGGATTTTTTGAGGGAAAGATTGAGGGCGCTGGTTTAGGGGGTTTTAGGGTCTCGGGAAGGGGGAGAGAGAGAGGTAGAGGGCGCTGGGTTAAAGGATTTTTTGAGGGAAAGATTGAGGGCGCTGGTTTAGGGGGTTTTAGGGTCTCGGGAAGGGGGAGAGAGAGAGGTAGAGGGCGCTGAGTCAAAGGATTTTTTGAGGGAAAGGTAGAGGGCGCTGGGTTTAGGGGTTTTTTAGGGTCTCGGGAAGGGAGAGAGAGTGGTAGAGGGCCGCTGGGTTAAAGAGTCTAGGAATAGAAGGAAAGTAGAAGAGAGGACGCTAATGTTAAAGGTGTTTTGGTCTCGGGAAGGGAGAGAGAGAGGTAGAGGGCGCTGGGTTATAGGGTCTTGAGCAGGAGGGCGCCGGTTTAGAGGGTACTGTGGTAAAGGATTTTTACGTCTGGGAGAGGGGGGAGAGAGAGTTAGAGGGCGCTGGGTTAGAAGGTTTTGGGGTCTAGGAAAGGGAGAGAGAGAGGTAGAGGTCGCTGGGTTAGAGAGTACTGGGTTAAAGGATTTTTTGAAGGAAAGGTAGAGGCCGCTGGGTTAGAAGGTTTTGAGTGGGAGGGAGCTGGGTTAGAAAGTTTTCAGAGGTAGAGGGTACTGGGGTTAAAGGATTTTTAGGTCTGAGGAAGGAAGAGGGCGCTGGGTTAGAAGGTTTTTGGGTCTGGGGAAGGGAGAGGGAGAGAGAGAGGTAGAGGGCGCTGGGTTAGGTTTTGAGAGGGAGGGCGCTGATTTAGGAGGTACTGGGTTAAAGGATTTTTGCGTCTGGGGAAAAGTCGGGGTAGAAGGCCTAAAAGGCTGGGTTATAAGGTCTTGTGAGGGAGGGAGCTGGGTTAGAAGGTTTTGAGAGGTAGAGGGTATTGGTTTAAAGGATTTTTTGGTCTGGGAAAGCGAGAGAGAGGTAGAGAGCGCTGGGTCAGAAGGTTTTTTGAGTCTGGGGAACAGGGAGAGAGAGGTAGAGAGCGCTGGGTTAGAGGCTACTGGGCTAAAGGATTTTTCGGGGGGACGGGAAAAGCGAAGGAAAAGGTAGAGGGCGCTGGTTAGAGGGTCTTAAGTGAGGGCGCTGGGTAAGAGGTACTAGGTTAAAAGATTTTTAAGTCTGGAGAAGGGAGAGAGAGAGGGGGGGTAGAGTGCGCTGGGTTAGAGAGTACTGGGTTAAAGGATTTTTTGAAGGAAAGGTAGAGGGCGCTGGGTTAGAGGGTCTTAAGTGGGAGGCGGCCTAGGTTAAGAGTACTAGGTTAAAAGATTTTTAAGTCTGGAGAAGGGAGAGAGAGAGAGAGAGAGAGAGGGCGCTGGGTTAGAGTGCACTGGGACGCTTGATTTTTCTTTCTTTTTTAGGTTGGGTCGAGAGAGGGAGAGAAAGGTAGAGAGTTGATGCCTTGAGAGAGAGGGCACTGGGTTAGAAGGTTTTGGGGGAGGGAGGGTAGATGTCGCTGGCTCAGGAGAGGTCGCTTAGAGAGAGAAAGGGAGAGAGTGAGTTAGAGATAACTGAGAGAAGAGAGAGGAGAGAGAGAGAGAGAGAAGAGAGAGAAGAGAAGAGAGAAGAGAGAGAGAGAGAGAGAGAGAGAGAGAGAGGGAGGGAGATAGAACCTAAGAAGAGAATGAGTTAGAAACTGAGAGAGAGAAGAGAAAAAGAGAGAGTTAAACAGATGAAAAAAAAAAAAAAAACGAAACAGAAACAGCAAAGAGAATGAAACCATAAAACAGAACCCCCCCATCCACCCACCCTTCCACCCACCTCCACCCCCCTCCAAAAAAAAAAAAAAAAAAAAAAAAAAAACGAACCAAAAAAAAAAAAAAAAAAAGAAAAAAAAAAAAAAAAAAAAAAAAAAAAAGAAAACACACTTAAATGAGAACGAAGGCGAAACGCAACACGACAAGCGAGAAGTCACGTTGACAGCCCGTCCGAAACTGGCGATGACTTAATGTGTTTTTATGGGGGATAGAATTGCGAAGAATTTAATCGAAAGAAAGAGTGACTTGAGAGAGAAGTCAGTCGGTCAAGGTGAGTCAGGGGTGAGGGAGGCGGGAGAGGAGCGGGGTAGGGAAAGGTGAGGAGGAGAGGGAAGGACGGGTGGAGAGAATGGGAGGAGGGAGAAGGGGGAAGGGGAGGGGTAGGGGGGGTATGAAGAAAGCGAGGGAGAGGAGGGGGAAGGGAAGGAGGGAGGTGGGTGAGAGGGGAAGGAAGGAGGAGGGTGGTGAGAGGGAGGGGGGAGGGGACGGCGGGAGGTTGAAGCCAGGGTATGGAGAGGGAAAGGGGGCGGTGGGGTATGATAGGACGGGAAAGGAGATGGGAGGGGGTGGAGGTAGGAGGAAAGAGGGGTAGGGGGTATGAAGGAAAGAAGGGTGGGAGAGGAAAAGGGAGGAGGGGGATAG